GCCGCAAAGCACACATTCATCGCGAGGGTTAAAATTCACGGCCCGCGCGAGATTCACACTCAGACACAAACCTTGATAAACAGCCCGTTGTCTAAACAAGTGTAAATTGACAAACAACAAAGCAGTATTGAATTAATCTTTTCATTAAACAACCTGCTCTATCGTTTTAAGTCACTTTTAAGTCGTTAAAGCTTAGGAATCTATCTTGTTACATAAACAGATGAGATACTGACAAGCACATACAAGAAACAAAAGCTTCAGTTGGTGTTTAATGCACGACACAGCCATGGAACAGTCTTCAGGGCAGTGTCTTCGGGAACAATCTGTTTTCGTTGGGCTTAATTAATTTTACGGGCCATGCGAAAGGAGGAACTGAGAAGCCTCAATAAGCAATATTTATCAAGAATTTCCTTGAAACATGAGTAAGAAAAGGGATAGAGGAGGATTAGAAGTCAGCTTGAGAGTATTTTAATACTGTTCGATAGTTTTCTATTCTTTCCATTCGTTTTGTTTAAATGATTTTCAGGATTTTGAAGAATTAATTTGGGCAATCAAGTGAAACGTCTGCCTCAAGAATTAGTAGGTGATGGAACAGAAAGTTTTTGAAGAATTTACGACGGGATTACAGGGCTGAGTAAATTTTACATGGCATATGCTTCGAGAAATCGAGGTTGACCATTGACCACTGTAGCATTTACACTGACAGATTGTTTTCGAAGCTACGTTTTTGACAGGTTTCTATTCTTTTCCATTAGTTTCGCTTAGTTGATTTTCACGAAATCAACATATATATAACGTTCAAGCCCTCCACGTAACCAACTCCAGCTCCTGAAACGCGTTAAATTGGGGTAAACTCACCTCTACACAGTCCGTTCATTTTCAGTTCGCTGTAAAATAACTTTATCTGCTCTTAGTTTTCTTTAGTGGCTGTTTCATAACATTCCATTTTCCAAAGAGTGGGTTTTTCTAGAAAAATGCTCACAGCAATTGGCCTGCGAGCTTTCATGAATACTAGTCTAAATATCTCTAGACATACAGCACAAAACTGTTAGCAACAAATTAACTAGCTTGTCTTCTAGCGTAGCGTTGTATTGAACGAACGAGGCGGCGCGGCGGAAAACAGGCACACTTCATTCCCACCCTCACCTCCCTTTCTTAGTCTTTTTTTAACGACAGCAATTTTAAAATCAGTTGAGCATGGATAATTAAGTTGTATTTGCATTATACACAAACAGCAGAATCTGTGGTTTTAGGCTTAAGTATTTTGATCACTTTGTTGCCAGTGGTAACCGCTTAAGGATAACCCAGCTATCTTTTCAGCATTCATATATCGGAGTCACAGACCTTCAGAGTGTCTTTATTTCTAAAATTTTACGCTGAGCAGGGCATTCTCAGGTTCTCAGCGATCTGCTGCTCAGAAAATGCACCTTCGTGAGATTTTATTAAGGTATTAACCGCAAGGTTTGTTGTCACTGTTGGACAGACCGATTGAAAAACCGGAGAGTTTTGCATTAAAATAAAAAATATACTATATTTACAAACGAAGTGTTCAAGAGCCTGAACAGGCTGCAACAATGCAATATATTTCACACATATATCACGGTTAAAAATTTTCAGTATTTCGTCAGACGCTGTTTCTCTTTCTTTCAACCTGACAAGGCATGTGCAGTGATGTAAAAACACATCGGCAGCCTTGAATATTGGTCTTCTAGAACAATTTTTACTTCGATTCATGTCAACAATCTGATCAATGAAGTGGGACGTCTTGAAAATAAGCAGCAAAGCTGGATGAACAAATTCACCTTGTCGGGTTAACGAAGATAGAAAGCTGTGCTGAGGCATCTACGACGCAGAACATAGTTTCGACAACTCGAGCTGAACTTTTGCGTTCGAAGTCAAATAGACCGATAGTTAAAAATGTGGAGGTAATTATTTCAAGCGCGAATGTTTGGTGCCTCAATTGACTTTTTCTATTCTTTTCCATTCGCTTCGTTTGACTGATTTTCTCGAAAAATATCAATTAGGCCAACCAAGTGAGACGCCGCCTGAAACAAAGATGGCACATTAAACCAGTGTTGTACATTGTAAAGTATGCCGAAACTTTTCTTCGCTATTGAGTGAAGGCTAGATACAACTATACATTATAAAACATTGCTTTAAAAACTAGCTGCATTCGAGACCAAGCTGAGAACAAAGCAAGGAAACAAAACGCTTTTAAGCTCCAATAGCTGGCACTCCTTCGCTTTTAATTCCACTCGTTTCGTTTGAATGGCTTTGATGAAAAATATTCAATATATTCAAACCCTACCGCCCTACTAAACAATCTCCTGCCCTCACGCGAACAGATATTGGAATTGTTCGCCAGTATATTTCAGGAAAGAAATGCAAAAAATATCTTTAAAAAAAGACTTCAGTTTCAATTAGTTCGCAAATCTAGAGGCAAGAAAACACGCTACAAGTTCATTATTGCTTATGAAGGTTTTTTTTTTCTGCATGGGCACGTACACGCACCATATCTTTTGAATTATAGTGACGCTTCTTTCAATTGTCTCGCTTCAATCAATTCTCTTTCGCATTCATTCATCCATGTATACCGCGGCGTCCCGCCAAAGATCTGTAATAATAGCATCGCGTCCTAGATGCTTCTTAGGTTAAAAGCCACAGTATAATGTAGGCTTAGAAAAGTACAATTTCACACACTTCAAGATAGAAAACTGCTACTCACTCAATTCCACCTTCTCTTGAAATAATAGAACTTTTCTTCGGTGTACACATAGAGAAAATTCTGGTTCTGAATTAAAAATAGTTTTTAGTACAGTTCATTTGCGATCTGGTATGTGCAAATAATTATTCGTCAGCACATTATTTCATGCTAAACCTAGTGATAAACAAGACCAGCACGTAATCGGCTTTTGAAATCATCAAAAAAAAACAAAAAACAAAAAAAAAACGAGAAAGAACAAAGCAACAATACATTGTGTATCGGTATGTGAGCAGCAAGACTACGCTAAGGAGTTCGAAGTCCATATTAAATTTACGGAATAAATGAAACGTGCCTCCTATAACATTTTTTTTTTTTATCATCCTTTGTCACCAGAGGCAATCTGACTCTGCGCTTCTCTAATCTAGAAGTGTTGAGCTAATACAACAGATTTGTTCATAATGTGGACGAATGGTTAGGTACGCCGAAAGAATGAAACAAACATGGCGTGAACTTGTTTCGTTTTAAGAGAATTTTAAGACAAAATTGATTTTGCGTAATTTTAGTCTTTCTAGAAAGGTAGTTTTGCATTTTCCAATCGAGTGACTTTTGGTTTTTCGGTTTCATCGATGCGTAAAGCACTCCTACGTAGTTCTAAGTTACACTTGAATGCGTCGTAAATGAAGCAGACAAGGCGTCCTAACTCTGTGCCAAAGGTTGTGAAAGGAAATTATGTGCGTAAAGCACTTTCACTTTTACAGCTGATACCGAAACGAAGAAATGAACAGATAGGAATTACAACGAAATAGAATTTTAACAACCAGAAATACAATTAGATTTCGGAGGCAAGCTGCGTAAAACCAAAACAAGCTTCAGCTCACTAAAGCAATTTTTACGGGTCATTAAATCCACGATCTTTCTTTATAAAAATTGCATTCGTCAAAGCATATTTCATATCGCACAAACAGGAGATGCATAGAGCTGAAAGTGTTTTAGAGACCCATTTTGCAATACTGTGTGAAATTCTAAAACATTTCCTTGCAAACAGCGTTTTTAATAAAGATGTTTAAAATTCAGGAAGAGATTTTGGTCGAGTTTTTCATGCATGCTTGCCCAAGTAAAAAAGAGCCCTCTAAGAGTCGGTTTTAGCGTGTAAACAGAATTCGGCATTTTTTTCTCTATTGTACACCTTGAACGCCCTACCAAACAAAGGACGCCTTCTACAGCCTGATGATCAGATATGCAAGAATTTCAATAAAAGAACATTGTAGGCTGACTCAAAAATTATTCACGCCTCGAAGTCGCTGGGGTCAACAACTTGGAGAGTTTAGTGAAATTACTAGCTCACAACAAGATGATTCGTGAGGCTGCTTTAGGAATATTGCTCGTTGTCTGCATTGCAAGCATTGACGCTTTTCCAAGAAATCGACTTGATCGAGCGGGTAAGTTTTTATCTTGTGTTTTTTTTGGGGGGGGGCTTAGAATGTTAGAGCTTGTCATTTTTTAGTTACGCCCAGTTCGCTCTAGATCTCGTAACACCCCATTCGGAGCGATTCCCAGTATGAATATTTACAAAAATATTAAATATGAAACCTTGATGTGCAATGAAAGTGGAAAAATTGGACCTTACAAACTGTCGCTTGAAGCAAATATTTGTGTAGAGAAAAATACATTTTGCATAATAGCATTCTAGATACGCAGGGGGGCGAACTCTTCATTTACATGCAATGATAAATTTCCAATACATGTAGAATTCTTGACCAGGGACAGAAAAGAGTTTTAATTTAGCTTGTTTGAAACCGGTTAAAGGCAACAGTTTCCATCTTTAAACGAAGACTTCGAATTTAATATCCTTGCGTTAGCATTTTAATTTCGGAAAGTATTTTAGTCCACGAAAGGAAAGACGGGTGACGTTTTCCGAGTTTCCCTGACAAAAAAACTAAAAAAGAACAGGTACACATTCAAACCGAAGCTCGAAAAGATCGGTTATCAAAAACGAAGCAGACAAACTTAATTTATGTTGCACAAAGAGCGTTTTTAATGCTCGCTCAACTGAAAAAAAATTGTGCACACACTGAGGTATCTTTAAATGAAAGCAACTTCTGACTGAAATAGCTCCCTGTTGTTGCTAGTTTCGTTTCACCAAGACGCATATTTTGAATAAGTTTGATAGACATTTCATCTGGTTTAATTTAAGAACATATTTTTACAAAGCCACTCCCCCAAAGTATGTTTTTGGGTGTGCCAAAGCCCTTTCCATCTCGACATGGTCCAGTAACTGATGTTCGGGGAGTGGGGTGCAGGGTTCACGGTGAGTGGGGTGGGGGGAGAGAGGAGGGGGAGTGGTAGGGATGCGTAGCGTGCCAGCAACTTTGCATAAAGCTCGGTGAATGCTAAGTGGAGCGTGGTACAGTTATCGTTGCTTATTCATAACTATAATAATAACTATAATAATACATGTATTTATGTAGCGCTCATTTCTTAAGCTCAATGGTGCTTTAAGATAAAGTGATATAAATTTCGGGCGTATTACACTGTTACATGTAAGGTCGCTGGTTTTTACTAGCGCGCAAGCACAATTGAAACGAATATGTACCTTACTGTATTTTTTCAACCGTGGTTAAATAAACGAATTTCCGAACCCGCAGCAAAATAATGGCAACTCTTGATCAACAATTTTCAGTTGGCAGGCTGGCTATGAGACTAGTACTAATGGGAAGAATGGTTGATCAAATTAATTCTCCGTCCTTACTTGTCAGGGGAACAATAAACCTTTTCACGGTTTCTGACGCCATCTTGCTTAGGGGGCAAACGTATAAACACAGCAGAAATTGCAGGAAATGTATGAGAAAAGTTCGATGCCTGACAAGTTGAATGTCATTGACTTTCTGCGTATTTTATGACTTACGAGGAAAAGATACCCAACAGAAGCCTGCTTTTGGATCAAATTTGAAGAACAGAGATTTGCAGTGAGGCGAGGAATTGCACTTTTCATTTTTCATACAAATGTCTCTAAATTTTCCCGCGAATATTGCGGCTCGGTTTTATAGACAATTCAAATGTATAGGAAAATGAAAACGTTAATTGTGAATTTTCTAGCTAGGCTTTTTCCCTCAAATGCGATCAATTAATTCTTTTCCCTAGTATCTTCAGTTTTTAATTCATAAATACCTCAGAACTCGAATTTTTCGTGAGTTGGTGGACATTAGACTCTCCATTTTCTCCATGTATTGCCGTGTTTGACCTCCAAATAAGATGGCGTCAGAAACCGTGAAAAGGCCTCACAGGTCAAGGCAGTTTGGTTTGGTTTCGTAACAAGAGTTCTTAACTTTTGTAAGATCTTTTCTGACATGTATTTCGTATTAAGTATTAAAGCAAGTTGATTTATTTTATCAATCGCGTAATTATGGTCAGTTACCAAGCAATATTCCATCTTTGATCAAAGTAAAATTTCTCTTGAAACTATCAATACAAACCTATGACGGCAAGTTTGAGAAAGAACGAACTGATCAGCAAGGAAAACTATTTTGCGATTTTTTACATCAAATTCTCCCAAGTGGTACTATTTAATAAAATAGGGAGATCAGACTTTATCTAACTTGAGGAGAATTTGCGTCACTGAATTTACCTGACTGAGAAATAAATGAAGTTTTCATCTTGTAACCAGTTTAGTAAATGCTTAATCCAGATGATAATTAAAGGTGTACAGAGATGATATACCTTAAGTTTGTACTGAGATATTTTTTTATCTAATAATTTCCTTTTCTGAAAACCAAATTTTTCATTGTATTTCATTGCTCGCACTCAAGGGACTGAACTAAGCTGTTAAACTAGGTTCCTAAAGTAGAAATACCATGGGATAGTCGCACTAACGTTTTTTGGTACTTCTTCTACTCTATAGAGTGTAGTTTGGTAATAAAACATCATGACAATTTCAGTAAAATGGGGTGCATTTGTGGTTTGGGTTGGTTCCAAACATTTCCAACTCCCTACATGACCATCCTCTTTTCCCACCCCAAATCCATGACACCAAGGCCACTTAATCCAAGTAGCCCGGATATGAAGTGATTTTTGGTTATGTTTTAGGTCACCTCAAAAGTTATGACCCACTGTACAAAAGAAATGGATTGCATTCTCCAATAGTGAGGAATCTCTATCAACGTCATTATAGCCCAATTGGAGCCAGGACTCTGTCACAGATCGAATATGAGCTACAACAAATTGAGAACAGGATGGATGAAGAAGAGGAAGAAGAAAGCACTGGGGGATCTGCAGCAGTGGAAGAGGAAGAAGGAGAGGAGGAAGAAGGAGAGAAGGAGGAGGAAGAGGAGGAAGAGGCAGGAGAAGAGGAAGAAGAAGAGGAGGAAGAGGAAGGAGAGAAAGAGGAAGAAGAAGAGGAAAATGAAGGAGAGGAGGAGGAAGAAGAGGAGGAAAAAGAAGGAGAAAAGGAAGAGGAAGAGGAAGAAGAAGAAGGTGAGGAGGAGGAAGAAGAAGAGGAAAAAGAAGGAGAGGAGGAGGAAGAAGAAGAGGAAAAAGAAGGCGAGGAGGAAGAAGAAGAAGAAGAGAAAGAAGGTGAGGAGGAGGAAGAGTGGGAACAAGAAAAAGGTGAAGAAGAGGAAGAAGAGGAAGAGGAACAAGGTGAAGAAGAAGAAGAGGAAGAAGAAGAGGAAGGAGAGGAGGAAGAGAAAGAAGAAGAGATGGAAGGCGAGGAGGTGGAAGAAGAGGAAGAAGAAACAGGAGAAGAGGAGGAGGAAGAGGAAGAGGAAGCTGGTGAAGAGGAAGAGGAGGAAGAAGAAGAAGCTGGTGAAGAAGAAGAAGAGGAGGAGGAAAATGAGGGTGAAAAAGTAGAGGAGCAAGAGGAAGAGGAGGGTGAAAAAGAAGAGGAGGAAGAGGAAGAGGAAGGCGAGAAGGCAGAAGAAGAGGAAGAAGAAATGGGAGAATGGATGGAGGAAGAAGAAGAAGAAAAGGGAGAAAAAAATGAGGAAGAGGAGGAGGAGGAGGGTGAAAAAGAAGAAGAAGCCGAAATTGAAGAGGGAGACAAAGAGGAAGAGGAGGAAATAGAACAAGGCAAAAAAGAAGAAGAGGAAGAAATAGAGGAAGGCAAGAAAATAGAAGAAGAGGAGATTGAGCAAGGTGAAAAGGAAGAGGAAAAGGAAATAGAAGAAGGCAAAACTGAAGAAGAGGAGGAGATTGAAGAAGGTGAAGAGGAAGAAGAAGAGAAAATTGAGGAGGGTGAAAAAGAGGAGGAAAAAGAAGAAGAGGAAGGTGAAAAGGAAGAGGAGGAGGAAGCTGAGACAGGTGAATACGAAGAAGAGGAAGAAGAAGAAGAAGGTGAAAAAGAGGCAGAAGAGGAAGAGGAACAGGGAGAGAAGGAAGAGGAGAAGGAGGAAGAAGAAGGAAAAGAGGAAGAGGAGGAGGAAGAAGAG